CCCCATGGGGCCTGCCCGCGCCTGACCTTCCCTGGGGCGGTTGCTGGGCAGGTGGCCACTGTGCATAGTTGGAGGAGCCTTTTCAGGGACCCTCACAGGTGGCCCCTACCCTTGAGCGTGGCTCCACTAAGGCTGGCACCACAGGCACGTGGACACTTGTCCTGTGGTCAGGACGCCTGAACTGCCCCTGTCACCTGGCTCCCCACAAGCTGTCCGCTGGGGGGGACCCATATACTCCAGGGGAGGTGGAAACAGGCCTCTTTGAAACTTTAATTCCCACCTTCTCGAATGAGATGGCGAATGAAATAGAAGCTCTCACAGGCTCACAGCCCTGCAGGGCTGACAGCGTCACCAACCAGAGCCTGTCCTCCAGGGGCCGGACCTGCACAGCACAGCCCAGCGCTGCATCCCGACGCTGGCCCTCCTGGGCGGAGGCTGGGAGCCGAGGCCCCTGTGCGGGGCAGGGAGGGCTGCCCGCCCCTCCCATTGCCTGGCCTGGTCGCCTAGGGGAGTGTGGAGGGGGTAGGGCCCTGAGGCAAATAATGCCCGTGCGGCCAGTGCAGCCCAGAAAAGGGACGTCAAGTCCGAGTCCCAGGCAGGTGGGGTGGGTTTCTGTGGTCCACCTGCACCGCGGGCGACACCCGCCTGCAAGGACCCCCAGGGCGCTGAGCCACCCTCCTGTGACCCACAGACTGCCAGGTGATGGTCCTGCTGGACCTGACGCGGTCCTACACCAGCATGCGGCGGCGCCTGGAGTCCTCGGAGAACAAGAGGTGCCCGGCGTCCCCTCTGCACAGGCTGCAGCTCGCAGCCCGGCCCCCGGGTAGCTGGGGCAGGCAACAGGGCATGGGGTGGGGAATCCGAGCCATGGGTGTGCCGCTGGGGAGTGCGGGGGACACAACTGTCTCTGCACCGTGACTGTGTGGGGGCTCCATGCTCTGCCCCAGACCCTTCCATGGCAAAGTCCCCTGGGGGTGGGGGTGGGGGTGGGGAAAGGGCGGCTCCACCAGCAGACCACAGGCCGGCTGGGACTGAGCTGGGAGACAGAGGGCTGGCAGCTCGGAGGACACCCTGGCTTCACAGCTCACATGTCACATGCCACCCCAGGGCCTCTGTGGGCTGCGGGCTGAGCGGGGACCACCCGTGCCTGGGGGCGCTTCCCTCCTGGCTCCACCCTGTGGCTGGGGGCCGTCCGGAGGGACTTGGCTGGACTCAGAAATGACCTTTCTTGTTAAATGTTGCTTAATGGTGTGTGGGGAGGATGGGCAGGATTCTTGATGCTGTCAAGAACCTTAAGAGCTGTCAGCCCAGATACACGTCCCCACGTGGGGTGCTTGGGCTGCGGGTGGGGGAGGGCTCGGGCTGAGCCCCTGGGCGCCACCCACGGGAGCCCGGTCCCCTGCAGTGCACTCCGGTTGTCCCTGGAGGAGCCCGTCCGGACTGCCATCCTTCTGAGTCTGGTGGGGGTCCGCAGCATCGTGGCGAACCAGTGGCCGACGGTCCTGCAGGACAATGCGATGCGGGCCAGCGTCCTGTGGGAGAGTGAGTCGTGAGGGGACCCCGGTCCAGCCTGGTTCCCTCTGGGCCTCCCAGAGGCCCGTCTGAGGGACGTCTCTTCCCCAGATCTGCTGGCAGTTGGCAAGTCCATCGGGAGAACGACCCACCTCCTTCAGAAGATGGGAGCCGGTGAAGCGGCGGACTGTGGTAACCAGAGGCCACCCTCCTCACTGGTCCATCAGGCTGTGTGGCTGCCACCTCCCAGCCGCTGCCCCTGCAGCCCTGCAGGGCAGGGAGCCTCCGAAGGCCAGCACGTGCTGACAACGTCAGCCTCCCACGGGTCCTGGCCGTAGCGAGGTCTGGCATCAAAGGTCGTTAGGGGGAAGCACACAGCACTCGGGTCAGGGGAGCTGCTAATTCATCTCAGAACGGTTCAGGCCCCACAAATTCTAAGCCCTGGTGTGCTTTCTGGATGTGAGGGAACCACCCACCGCTCCTCCAGGGCAAAGGCAGCCCCGATCCCACAGGGGGCAGCAGCGTCACGCACGGGTCCTGCTGTAAAACCTTGCATGCTGCCCGAGCAGGAGCTCCAGACGCAGGTTGAAGGGCCGGTCTGAGGGAGGTGTGTCCCAGCATGATCCAGAGTCATGGCGTCTTCGGGACACAGGGCGCAAAGGGCGCTTCAGACTCAGAGTCGCAAGGTCCACGGTGGCGGGGGCGGGCTGCAGGGGCCAGAGAGAAATGCTTGTTGAGTGGCTGAGCAAGCAATGGAGTGAGAGAGTGGGCGGGTGGCCCTGGGGCCCTCGCCTGTAAGGACGGGCAGCGGGTCCTCGCCTCTGGAGGGAGGCAGAGCCAGCAGCGCCCTCCCCTCCCTCCCACTCCCCCCCATGCGCCCTGAGCCCGGGGATCCCGCGTCTCACAAGCCCCGTCCATGCTCCTCACAGACGAGCCTCTGCAGACCTGGAAGGACAAGCTGGCGCTGCTCCGGCCACAGCTGCAGGGCGCAGAGCGGCTCCCCATCGCCCTCAACATGGTCCTCTACGGGCTGCCGCACCAGGCCATCGTGTGACGGGGCCGCCTTCTCCCCCAGCCCCTCCCCGCAGGCCCTCTCCGCAGCCGGCTCAGCATTTCCTTCCTGGACCAGTTCCTCCCCTTTCTGGGGTCTCCCCAGTGGAGCCCCTCCTTCAGTGACCTCCCGCCAGGCTGTCAGGCAGGGACTCCACCCCCCCTTCTGCACAGCACGGCACCTGCAAGTCTCCACCCTGAAGCCAGGGGCCCCGGGAGGGGGCTGGGCAGTGTGGGCGAGGGGGAGGGGTGTGTCCCGCTGACCCTAGAGCTGCCTGGACCTTCAGGCCTTCGGCTGCTCCAGGCTCTCCCTGTGCGGGCACTGGGTGGAGGACCCGCCTCCCGCAGGCCGCAGCAGGAGGAGGCTGGCGGTTGGGCACCCCCCACCAAGCCTTGCACACCCTGGCTCTGAGTTGTTGAAGCGCTTCAGTAAACAGCTAAGTCAGCTTTTGAGCTGTGTTTCTGTGACCCCGGAAGCAGTGGCCAGCCGTGGCTCTGTGCCCCTCGCCCCATGCACCCCACCCCACTGCCAACGCCGGCGCCTTCCCACCCTCAAACCTCAAAGGGAAGGAACTGGCCACGCGGCACGCGCCCCCAAGCCTGCGGCCCAGCTTCCTGCACAGCGGCGGGGGCTCACATCCTGGGCAGGGCTCCGAGGGAAGGACTCAGTCACACGTGTCACTCGGCCCATGGGGCTGTGGCCATCGAACTGTGACCAGGAGGGACGGCCGACCAGGTCTAGGTGCCACGCTCCAGACAGCTCTTGGTGGAGTGGCCGGCACTGGGCTTGCGGACCTGATGTCCCGGCCCACGGCAGGTTCCAGCTCCGCCTGTGCTGCAGAGCCAGCCGCCTCCCGCGGGCATGGGGGCCGGGAGCCGTCAGGCTGGGCCCAGCAGTGACCTCGGTTCCCCCCATGCTGAGGGACCAGAAGTGGCAAAGTGCCCACGCGGGGAGTCCTCTGGGCGGCCCTGCTGCACCACCCACGTTTGTCCTGCCCTCACCGACCACTCCTGGGTGTTTCACCGTCTGTGGTCACCTCTGATGGCCGGGCTGGGGACCCCTCGAGGGAGCAGCCTTTGTCCAATGCCAGGACACGGTGGGGCTCAGTGACGTCTGCTGAGTGAGTGACTGGACGGGTGAATGAGGGAGGCGAGAGCCTGTGGAAGGCGCCATGGGTCCTGGGGCTGAGCCTCGGGGGGCAGGGCACGTCGGGGGGCAGTGGGAGGTTGATGTGGGACGCAGGGTGATGGCAGATTCCAAGGGACGGGAGGTGGGTGAGGGGCCCCATCCTGGATTGCAGAGTCCCCCCACAGAGCTCGACATCCAGCCACCGCCCGTGGTCTCTGCCGTGGATGGAGTGAACCTGGGAGAGGCCACTGTCCCTAGAGCTGGACACTCAGCCGGAATTGAGGGCGGTTGTAGGAAGGACAGATGCCACAGTCACCAGGGAAGGGCCTCACACCACACCCAGGCCAACCTGGCCCACGGGGGCACAGAGCCTCCCAGGCTGAGGGAGACCAGCCCCGGTCTCTCTGGAGTGAAGCCCACCCCGTTAGAGGACACGCAGGTGGGGGCACAGGAGAGGTCACGGTCCCCCTGGCACTGGGCCCTCAGGGGACCCCAGCCGGGGGCTGCTCGGGCTGCTCTGTCCAGGAGTCCCTGGGGCTCCTGGTCCTGTCAGCGCTGTTCTGCCAGCCTCCGAGCACAGGTGTGGGGTCTGCACGGAAGTCCCGCCCCCATGCAAGCCCTGTCTCCTGCCTGTCTCACCGGGAGACCTCTCTGGCCTCTGAGCACCCACTCTGGGGCCAACTGGCAGCCGGAGGCAGCCACCCAAAGGCCAGAGGGCGCCAGGCCCCAGGCGAATTGATCCTGGTCACCGCCTGGGCTGGGAGGCCCAGAGCTGAGCACACGGGAAGGGGAGCAGCCTCAGAGGGCTCCCCAGGCTACAGGAGCAGGCTCCGTGCTCCGTCCTGACCTCGCACTGGACCCTGGCTGGCGAGGCTGTGTCCCTGCAGCTCTTAGGTGCAAGGAGACCAGTCCCGAGACTTCCTGGGCTGAGACACATGACAGTCCAAGTAGCCAAAAAGAGCACAAATTAAGACCGTGACAAGATACCACTACCGTGTCTACTGAAACAGCTAAAAGGAACAACAGTGACAAACACCAAATGCTGGTGCAGGCGCAGAGAGACAGCCTCACAGACACAAAGAGACAGACACACAGACACAGAGAGACACTGAGAGACAGACACACAGACACAGACAGACACACAGACACAGAGAGACAGCCATACAGAAACAGACACACAGACAGACACAGAGAGACAGACACACAGACACACAGAGAGACAGACACACAGACACAGACAGACACACAGAGAGACATACAGACACAGAGAGACACACAGACACAGACACTGAGAGACAGACACACAGATGGACACACACGACAAGACGCGGATAAACACACACACACACACACACACACACATAGGAGCGCCTGTCAAAGTGGTGGAAACAGAGTCAGGTCCACAGCCTGGATGGCGCCGTGGCACCGACCTCGACCTCCTGGTTTGCGCGTGTCCGGTGCTCCGGGGCCGTGTGTGTGCGCAGGGCGCGCTGCGCTGCCTGAGACGTCCCTGCGGCTCCCTGTGACTCTGCAATTAACTCACCAGGAAGAGTTTTTTCAAAGCTCATCTTTGATTACATTGAGGTGGCGATTCCCCTCTTTTGTGTTTGATTTTTTCCTTTTTTAAAATATATACACATACTCGTTCTAGTTTTTTTTTAAAGCTAACTGATGACCGGGGAATAAATTCACATCAAGCAGCGTTGGAAATATGCGCTTTCTTCTAGAAAGATGTTGGCACCCACCCAAACAACAAGAATAAAAGCTTCTGGAAATATTTCATCCGCGCAGCGTCACATTTTCACCTGATGCCGTGTCTGCTCATGTGAGAAATGTTAACCGTGAGTGCTGGGCCGTGTATCAAAGGATCTAAAACACCTTCCTGAATTATGTCCCGGCAACATGACAAATCACAGTATCAATTAGCTTCTCCAGCAGAAGTGGCGTTCTGTAATATATTCAGGCATGAAGAAACTGCGCAGGTGAAATTTATGTAACCCTAAAAACTGTTAAGGAGAAAAAAGATCACTTGGAATTTATTGGTAATAATAGGAGACAGTGTAATTGGAATGGTGGGCAGCCCTTGCAGAAAGGGTGACCAGACCTGCGGGTTCTCAATGTGCTCCAGAAAGGAGCAGGTGGGCGGTGGGCGCCCTGGCGCGAGGGGAGGGCCGGGGGCTCCGGGAGGCCGCCACCGCCCACGCCCAGCCTCCGCTCCCACCCGCAGCCGGCTCTGGTCCGAGCTGAGCACTGCCCATGCTCTGAGACCTTGAGCCGTTCACCCAGAGGCCCATCCTCTCCCCTGGAAAATGTGACCCCCGGCCTCGGTCCACCCCTGACGGGGACCAGGAGGGCCCGACCCCGCCCATCAGGGAGGCGTGGTCCCTGCACCTGCCCCTCTGCGCCCGCCCCCGAGCCCCCGTGCCCCCCCCTCGACCGCCGCAACAGCCCGCAGACTGAGGAGTCAACCACTGGCTTACAAGTTCCATTTGTTTTCTGAATTTATGTCTTGAAAATATTGATTTCCATATTTTTAAAATAGAGAGCTTCTTTTAACAATATGTTTTATTGTAGGAAATTGGAGGGAATTACAGGGAAGACACAGCCCACACCCGAGGTCAGCGTTTTGATGGGTCTCTGGTTTCCCGTCTGCGTTTTCACCCAGCGAGCTCCTGTCCTGTCACCAGCAGGTCTCTGGTTTCACTCCACACGGTGAAGGATTTCCCATTTCGCAACTTTAACCTGAATCCTTGTTGAAAGTGTCCCTACCCTCCAGCAGGCTGGCTGCACGCACGGAAGGTCCAGTGCGTCAGGGCCAAGGGTGCTCCCAGGATGGGGTGAGCCGTCGAGGGTCCCCATCGTTCCTGGGGAGGTGGGGGCTGAGTGGGGGCTGCAGCAGAGTGGACTGGGGGCCAAGGTCCTGTAGGCTGTGGAGCCTGGCCAGCCAGGGTTGGGGGTCATGTCACATGACCTGCCAGGTGGGCAGCTCCTGGCTCCGTGTGGACAAGTCCTCCTTCATCAAAGCCGGTAGCACAGCACCACCCAGGCCCAGACCACGGCCGTGCTCCACGTGGCCATTCCACGCCCTGTCTTCCACTGCTGGGGAGACCCCGGCCTCGGTCTGCCCTGGTCTGGGGGCTCACACCTCCTGGCACCGGCACTCTGAGCCCCTGGATCCCTCCTGGGACCCTCAGTGGGATGCCTGGTGCCCACCCGAGGGCAGGGCCGCCCTCACCCGGTCTCCGCCCCAGGACAGGTCTGTGGTTCCACACTCCCTGTCCCTCTGGGCCTCGCTTGGGCCTACCCTCCTCTCCAAGCAGTTAACTGACAATCATAGCTAAAACAGGCCTTGCAGATTGATTTGGATTAAGAAGTTAGGTGGGTTAATAAAACTAAAATGTTCATAGGCGCTTGTGTATAAATTTCTAGTGAGTTCCTTCATTCAGCACTGGTCTCTAATAGTTTAATTCCTGCATTAAATAATTAAAACTCTATTTTCAGTTGCTATGAACAATTGTTTTCCTTAATGATCTTCCTGGAGGAGCCAGTAATTTTCTATCTTGTAAAAATGATTAACTGGCATCATTATCCCATATCTCTGAAATATAACCAAGCAGCTTCAGGGAAGGCCATTTGTATTCAATTAACGCTCCCTCGCATTAAGACATACGGCATTACTTACCGCCGCACGCAGCCTGCTGTCCTCATTTTACTATGACGATGATGGAGATGAAACAACCAGTTTAATTGTCCCGTTTCCAACAGAGAAATCAATTTTCACTGCGTCTCCACCCTCACAAAGAGCAGCCAGCCTGGTTCCCAGGAAGCAGATGCTGGGAGCTCCCTGTGGCTGGGGTGCCCGGGGCCAGGGGCGGCTTCTCCGTGGGGCAGCCGACTCTTGGAGGGGCCTGCGACCCTGCCTCTCGGGGTCTCGTCCTGTGGGGGCTGCCAGTGCCTCCCCACCCCTGCATCTCTCTGGTCCCCCCACGCCCAGCCCAGGGCTCCCCAGGGACAGCTCAGCTTGTGGGGCCAACACTGACCTCGGACAGACCTGGAGTCCACGTAAACTCGGAAGGGCTCCTGGGGGAGCAGCAGCCTGCAGCCCGCTCCCTTGTCGGGTGGCTCGAGGGCCGCGCCCTGCCTCACCGCTCAGTCACGGTGCTGCCGGCCAATGTGATCTAAGTGTTTGACATTTTTATCACGATTCATTGAGACCAGAGGGGGTGATTAGATTAATACCCCTGTGCAGTTGGCTAATGGCTGGGACGGAGCTGATGAGGGCTCTTAAATTTTCTTATTAGAGATTTGAACTCTTTGT